TGTAAATAAAATTCCAAAGGGGTAAACCCTTAGAAAAAGTGCAAAAAATTGAAAATTTCTGTTTTTCGATTTTTCTCTATGTTAACTTCAGAAATCGATAGAACGAGTCTAAATTAGTTAGAAACAACTTTCACATCAATAACATTTGGAAATTTCGATTAGGAAAAAAATCCAAAAGAAAATCTCATTTTTGGCTCTGAAAATTTTTTGGAATCTTGACACACTCATGAATAATTGCCTATATCTTCAATTATATTTGAATAATTTAGTAATAACTATACATCATTGGAAAGAGCATTAAATTCTCTATAAACCTGTGTAAAATTGGATTTTGTAGCTTGTGGATTTTTAGAGATATTGAGCATCAAAGTTGAAATTTAGTCTACATTTTGTCCAAAACTTCAAACTCGATTTTCTCAAAAACTATAAATAGTAGCGATTTCAATTAAATACCATCTAAAAGCCCTTATCAAAAGCTACAATTCCTGAAAATTTTGTCCCGGTACCGCTTTTGGTTACCAAGATATCGAGGTTTGAAGATTTGTAAATAAAATTCCAAAGGGGTAACCCTTAGAAAAAGTGCAAAAAATTGAAAATTTCTGTTTTTCGATTTTTCTCTATTTTAACTTCAGAAATCGATAAAGCGAGTCTAAATTAGTTAGAAACAACTTTCACATCAATAACATTTGGAAATTTCGATTAGGAAAAAAATCCAAAAGAAAATCTCATTTTTGGCTCTGAAAATTTTTTGGAATCTTGACACACTCATGAATAATTGCCTATATCTTCAATTATATTTGAATAATTTAGTAATAACTATACATCATTGGAAAGAGCATTAAATTCTCTATAAACCGGTGTAAAATTGGGTTTTGTAGCTTGTGGATTTTTAGAGATATTGAGCATCAAAGTTGAAATTTAGTCTACATTTTGTCCAAAACTTCAAACTCGATTTTTTCAAAAACTATAAATAGTAGCGATTTCAATTAAATACCATCTAAAAGCCCTTATCAAAAGCTACAATTCCTGAAAATTTTGTCCCGGTACCGCTTTTGGTTACCAAGATATCGAGGTTTGAAGATTTGTAAATAAAATTCCAAAGGGGTAAACCCTTAGAAAAAGTGCAAAAAATTGAAAATTTCTGTTTTTCGATTTTTCTCTATGTTAACTTCAGAAATCGATAGAACGAGTCTAAATTAGTTAGAAACAACTTTCACATCAATAACATTTGGAAATTTCGATTAGGAAAAAAATCCAAAAGAAAATCTCATTTTTGGCTCTGAAAATTTTTTGGAATCTTGACACACTCATGAATAATTGCCTATATCTTCAATTATATTTGAATAATTTAGTAATAACTATACATCATTGGAAAGAGCATTAAATTCTCTATAAACCGGTGTAAAATTGGGTTTTGTAGCTTGTGGATTTTTAGAGATATTGAGCATCAAAGTTGAAATTTAGTCTACATTTTGTCCAAAACTTCAAACTCGATTTTCTCAAAAACTATAAATAGTAGCGATTTCAATTAAATACCATCTAAAAGCCCTTATCAAAAGCTACAATTCCTGAAAATTTTGTCCCGGTACCGCTTTTGGTTACCAAGATATCGAGGTTTGAAGATTTGTAAATAAAATTCCAAAGGGGTAACCCTTAGAAAAAGTGCAAAAAATTGAAAATTTCTGTTTTTCGATTTTTCTCTATGTTAACTTCAGAAATCGATAGAACGAGTCTAAATTAGTTAGAAACAACTTTCACATCAATAACATTTGGAAATTTCGATTAGGAAAAAAATCCAAAAGAAAATCTCATTTTTGGCTCTGAAAATTTTTTGGAATCTTGACACACTCATGAATAATTGCCTATATCTTCAATTATATTTGAATAATTTAGTAATAACTATACATCATTGGAAAGAGCATTAAATTCTCTATAAACCTGTGTAAAATTGGATTTTGTAGCTTGTGGATTTTTAGAGATATTGAGCATCAAAGTTGAAATTTAGTCTACATTTTGTCTAAAACTTCAAACTCGATTTTCTCAAAAATTATAAATAGTAGCGATTTCAATTAAATACCATCTAAAAGCCCTTATCAAAAGCTACAATTCCTGAAAATTTTGTCCCGGTACCGCTTTTGGTTACCAAGATATCGAGGTTTGAAGATTTGTAAATAAAATTCCAAAGGGGTAAGCCTTAGAAAAAGTGCAAAAAATTGAAAATTTCTGTTTTTCGATTTTTCTCTATGTTAACTTCAGAAATCGATAGAACGAGTCTAAATTAGTTAGAAACAACTTTCACATCAATAACATTTGGAAATTTCGATTAGGAAAAAAATCCAAAAGAAAATCTCATTTTTGGCTCTGAAATTTTTTTGGAATCTTGACACGTTCATGAATAATTGCCTATATCTTCAATTATATTTGAATAATTTAGTAATAACTATACATCATTGGAAAGAGCATTAAATTCTCTATAAACCGGTGTAAAATTGGGTTTTGTAGCTTGTGGATTTTTAGAGATATTGAGTCTCAAAGTTGAAATTTAGTCTACATTTTGTCTAAAACTTCAAGCTCGATTTTCTCAAAAACTATAAATGGTAGCGATTTCAATTAAAAACCATCTAAAAGCCCTTATCAAGAGCTACAATTACATTTGAAAAATCTCATGAGAAAGAAAATCCAAAAGAAAATCTAATTTTTGACTGAACATTTTTTGACATGCTCATGAATAATTGCTCATTCCTTCGAATATATTTGAGCCAATTTCCTATAATTATACATCATTGGAAAGAGCATTAAAATCTCTATAAGCCTGTGTAAAATTGGTTTTTGTATATTTTGGAATTTTCAGAATAGTCAGCTTTAAAGTTGAAATTTGCCCTTGAATCACCAAACGAAATCAAGAGCCGAGAATAGTTCAAATTTTGATTACTCTTGACTCTTGAATCGTAAATCGTTATAGAGATTCTGATTATTATTCCTCAAGAGACGAAATTATTACTATTATTAAACAAACCTCACTCAAAAAAAAATTTAGAGCTAAGAATAAATCGAATACCGAACTAGGGGTGGTATTTCATGGTAAATTCTGGTCAATATTATACAACTATAATCCCTGATGGAATCTATTGAGCCTAAAACCTACTCAAAGGTAAAAATTTGTCCCTTAAATCCGACTCTATTATTGTAAAAGGCAAGCTTATCCCTAACACCTGGGCGTACTTATATTCAGCCGCATGTTTAGATTTTTAGTGTGAAATTTGAATGCCATCAATCTTTACGGCATGAAGGATTAGTAAGTCAAACAAGGAAATTCACCGCACGCTGAGCATAGCTAATGGATTTAAAGTTTCCTACTGTTTTTCATGAATATTTTTCTAAATAGGAAATAAATTACTCCGGTATTTATACGGCGGAATAACAAATCGATTGTGTCTATAGTTGGTAATTTTATAATCTTATAGACAATCTATCGATGCTAGAAATCTAATAAATTTAATACAAATTCAAAAGTTTCGCTAGTTAAAATTATATCATTCACTTTAGGCTGTAATTGAAAGTTGAAAAGTAGCAGGTGCATTAATTAATCCGAAAGGAATTTTAAGAAATTTAAATAATCCTCTTTCAGGCGGCAAGTTCACGAGATTCCTTACTAAAAAGCTGTTTTCATGTCAATACTGCTACAAAAAGGTATTTGCCCTAACAGCTTTAGCTATTGTCGATCAAAATTTGTCACTTTTAACAAAGAATTTGACCCAACAATGGTAAAATGCCCACGACACCTGGGTTATTTCGATTTCCTAGAAGATGTTTTATAAAATTATTATTCGCTAAACGTGACCGGGGGCAGGTAAAAATGAGCCCGAATTTGTAAATATGTCACGATCCTAATCGTTTTGGACCCCTTTTTTCCTTGCGTGGTCCATTAACGGTATAATCCTCCAGAAAAAAAAAAAAAAACCCTGTCAAATATCAAAGAAATATGACGCAAATCTTCTTACCGAGAGGAAAAATGCCTCTAATCCGACGTGACAAATAGGCGTTTTGTATAAAATTCTACATTTAATTACTTGTAGCAAGAGTTTTGATAAATTGTCTCTATATTGGAAAACAATTTTTGGAGAAGCAACATCTGGACTTCATTGTCGCTTTCCCATAGCGTGGCAACGTTCCGTTGTTTCACCGTCAAACAATTAATTAACTTTCTTTATTGTATTTTCTTCGAGACAGTTAACGACTCGCCTCTAATTAATTTCGGCAACGCGAGAGGTCAATTAAAACTGGTTTTTTTGCTTGAAGGGGGTGACAACAACCCCGCAAATTTATTTACAGTCATTTATTACGCATATACACAGATGGGGATGTTTCAAGGCACGACATGCTATTCTCGACGGGATCAGGCGTGTTTGATAAGCGGGGCGGATAGTGGAAATGATTCAAACATCCTGAGGGAATAGAATGAATCATGTGTGTGTGTGTGTGTGTGATTTTTTTTTTAAACATTCTAGTTGTTGTTCTAGAGAAAATTTCTAGTGATTCCTTTTTGGTTTGAAAAACGCTCCAGGTACTTTCCATTTCAGAAACATTTTCTTTGCAAATGTTGCAGTCATCAGGCAATGTTGCAAGATTGCACCCAATTTCTCCAACTTATTACATAAAACATTTAATAATTATGCATTGACTTTTAATAGCCATAAATCCAACATGAAAACATCGCAATTTCACCAATTAATAACCTTCAAATGTCCATATATCAACGATAATAAACGTCAAAAATTTTAATCCTTAAAATTCCACTCGTAAATCGACGTTGGCTCGGGCAACTTCTCCGCTTCATCGATAGTAATTAAATATTGAAATTTATAATTTGCATTTTACGCGTGGGCAACTTGTAAAACTCCCTTTATATAAAGATGAACCCAAAACAACTATAAAAGATTTTCTCGTAATAATAATTCGGAGTGGTTACGGCACCAGAGACTTTTTGGACAGCAACTTACCATGAAACAATCGGGTCCTTGCAGACAAGAGTCCTTACGAAGTCCTCCATTTAGGAACTGAAACAAGAGGAAAACGATTTTAGTATTGATATTTGAGATTTTGAATGTATAAGATCAGAAATTGCATGATTTCGATACGTTGACCTAAATTCCTCTCCCACTATTTCTTAGAAATAAGTGTCTATATAATTTATGAGTATACACGAATGCCATTTGGATTAGCAACTGCCCCAGATGTATTTCAGCGAAGTATTAACTTAAGATTTAATACAGCACTGGTCTAAATATATGATATCTTGATCAATGTGTTCATCTTTAGGTTCAGGTGATGTTTCCTGCTGGAGTAAAAAGACTATAAAATTGCGACAGCATATATTATAGAGTGGAAAGCTTGTATTTTAATGTATCGTCCATATTACCATTTCCTAAATATTTAGACAATCCTCTTTATAAACTATTTACGAATGACATTTTGTTGATTAACAGCAACAAATCAGTACGAGCAAATAAGTAAAACGAGGTCTCCTGGGAGCCACTTGCTAAATTATATTTGTCCAGGGTTTCTCGGAGCCTCGGCCGCATATATTATCTAAATTAAACATGCTTTCGGAATAAGTTTTACTTGGCCTCTCTCTCGTTGCAACTTTGACCCAATTTTCCTCCAGGAAAACTGTCGAGTCTTGAGGGAAATCATTCGAGATGTTTTTGTATATATTAAAAGATCAGACCTACTCAAGACAAAATCGTTTGAAAAATTATAAGAATCTTGTTGGCAAAATCTAAATTGAAAATATAGAGGGATGAAAGTTTAAAGTGTGGGACAAAGATGTAATTAATTTAGTGTATAGAATTTGGGGGATGTTGATTGACCATTAGGATACAAAATCTCGACAAAAAAAAAATTGAAATTTCATCGTTTTAGTAAGAAGGTACCTACCTTATGATTTAGATTTTGGAAAACTTTGACAGGTCATAACTTTTTTTCTATTATAGATAGAAAGCTGAAACTTTCACTGAATTTTATCCCTTTTAAAGGACTACAATCCCTGAAAATTTCAGCTCATTTGCACTTGTAGTTCCTGAGATAAAATCGTGTTAAGCAATTTGGGGTGATTTATCAATTTTTCAATTTTTCAGAGTGGCTTTTTTCATGGATTTCGGCTTCAAATCTGAGAATAATTTAGTGTATGGAGTTTGGAGGATGTTGATTGACCATTAGGATACAAAATCTCGACAAAAAAAAATTTGAAATTTCATCGTTTTAGTAAGAAGGTACCTACCTTATGATTTAGATTTTGGAAAACTTTGACAGGTCATAACTTTTTTTCTATTATAGATAGAAAGCTGAAACGTTCACTGAATTTTATCCCTTTCAAAGGACTACAATCCCTGAAAATTTCAGCTCATTTGCACTTGTAGTTCCTGAGATAAAATCGTGTTAAGCAATTTGGGGTGATTTATCAATTTTTCAATTTTTCTGAGTGCCTTTTTTGATGGATTTCGGCTTCAAATCTGAGAATAATTTAGTGTATGGAGTTTGGAGGATGTTGATTGACCATTAGGATACAAAATCTCGACAAAAAAAAATTTGAAATTTCATCGTTTTAGTAAGAAGGTACCTACCTTATGATTTAGATTTTGGAAAACTTTAACAGGTCATAACTTTTTTTCTATTATAGATAGAAAGCTGAAACTTTCACTGAATTTTATCCCTTTCAAAGGACTACAATCCCTGAAAATTTCAGCTCATTTGCACTTGTAGTTCCTGAGATAAAATCGTGTTAAGCAATTTGGGGTGATTTATCAATTTTTCAATTTTTCTGAGTGCCTTTTTTCATGGATTTCGGCTTCAAATCTGAGAATAATTTAGTGTATGGAGTTTGGAGGATGTTGATTGACCATTAGGATACAAAATCTCGACAAAAAAAAATTTGAAATTTCATCGTTTTAGTAAGAAGGTACCTACCTTATGATTTAGATTTTGGAAAACTTTGACAGGTCATAACTTTTTTTCTATTATAGATAGAAAGCTGAAACGTTCACTGAATTTTATCCCTTTCAAAGGACTACAATCCCTGAAAATTTCAGCTCATTTGCACTTGTAGTTCCTGAGATAAAATCGTGTTAAGCAATTTGGGGTGATTTATCAATTTTTCAATTTTTCTGAGTGCCTTTTTTGATGGATTTCGGCTTCAAATCTGAGAATAATTTAGTGTATGGAGTTTGGAGGATGTTGATTGACCATTAGGATACAAAATCTCGACAAAAAAAAATTTGAAATTTCATCGTTTTAGTAAGAAGGTACCTACCTTATGATTTAGATTTTGGAAAACTTTAACAGGTCATAACTTTTTTTCTATTATAGATAGAAAGCTGAAACTTTCACTGAATTTTATCCCTTTCAAAGGACTACAATCCCTGAAAATTTCAGCTCATTTGCACTTGTAGTTCCTGAGATAAAATCGTGTTAAGCAATTTGGGGTGATTTATCAATTTTTCAATTTTTCTGAGTGCCTTTTTTCATGGATTTCGGCTTCAAATCTGAGAATAATTTAGTGTATGGAGTTTGGAGGATGTTGATTGACCATTAGGATACAAAATCTCGACAAAAAAAAATTTGAAATTTCATCGTTTTAGTAAGAAGGTACCTACCTTATGATTTAGATTTTGGAAAACTTTAACAGGTCATAACTTTTTTTCTATTATAGATAGAAAGCTGAAACTTTCACTGAATTTTATCCCTTTCAAAGGACTACAATCCCTGAAAATTTCAGCTCATTTGCACTTGTAGTTCCTGAGATAAAATCGTGTTAAGCAATTTGGGGTGATTTATCAATTTTTCAATTTTTCTGAGTGCCTTTTTTCATGGATTTCGGCTTCAAATCTGAGAATAATTTAGTGTATGGAGTTTGGAGGATGTTGATTGACCATTAGGATACAAAATCTCGACAAAAAAAAATTTGAAATTTCATCGTTTTAGTAAGAAGGTACCTACCTTATGATTTAGATTTTGGAAAACTTTAACAGGTCATAACTTTTTTTCTATTATAGATAGAAAGCTGAAACTTTCACTGAATTTTATCCCTTTCAAAGGACTACAATCCCTGAAAATTTCAGCTCATTTGCACTTGTAGTTCCTGAGATAAAATCGTGTTAAGCAATTTGGGGTGATTTATCAATTTTTCAATTTTTCTGAGTGCCTTTTTTCATGGATTTCGGCTTCAAATCTGAGAATAATTTAGTGTATGGAGTTTGGAGGATGTTGATTGACCATTAGGATACAAAATCTCGACAAAAAAAAATTTGAAATTTCATCGTTTTAGTAAGAAGGTACCTACCTTATGATTTAGATTTTGGAAAACTTTAACAGGTCATAACTTTTTTTCTATTATAGATAGAAAGCTGAAACTTTCACTGAATTTTATCCCTTTCAAAGGACTACAATCCCTGAAAATTTCAGCTCATTTGCACTTGTAGTTCCTGAGATAAAATCGTGTTAAGCAATTTGGGGTGATTTATCAATTTTTCAATTTTTCTGAGTGCCTTTTTTCATGGATTTCGGCTTCAAATCTGAGAATAATTAAGTGTATGGAGTTTGGAGGATGTTGATTGACCATTAGGATACAAAATCTCGACAAAAAAAAATTTGAAATTTCATCGTTTTAGTAAGAAGGTACCTTATGATTTAGATTTTGGAAAACTTTGACAGGTCATAACTTTTTTTCTATTATAGATAGAAAGCTGAAACTTTCACTGAATTTTATCCCTTTCAAAGGACTACAATCCCTGAAAATTTCAGCTCATTTGCACTTGTAGTTCCTGAGATAAAATCGTGTTAAGCAATTTGGGGTGATTTATCAATTTTTCAATTTTTCTGAGTGCCTTTTTTCATGGATTTCGGCTTCAAATCTGAGAATAATTTAGTGTATGGAGTTTGGAGGATGTTGATTGACCATTAGGATACAAAATCTCGACAAAAAAAAATTTGAAATTTCATCGTTTTAGTAAGAAGGTACCTACCTTATGATTTAGATTTTGGAAAACTTTAACAGGTCATAACTTTTTTTCTATTATAGATAGAAAGCTGAAACTTTCACTGAATTTTATCCCTTTCAAAGGACTACAATCCCTGAAAATTTCAGCTCATTTGCACTTGTAGTTCCTGAGATAAAATCGTGTTAAGCAATTTGGGGTGATTTATCAATTTTTCAATTTTTCTGAGTGCCTTTTTTCATGGATTTCGGCTTCAAATCTGAGAATAATTTAGTGTATGGAGTTTGGAGGATGTTGATTGACCATTAGGATACAAAATCTCGACAAAAAAAAATTTGAAATTTCATCGTTTTAGTAAGAAGGTACCTACCTTAGGATTTAGATTTTGGAAAACTTTAACAGGTCATAACTTTTTTTCTATTATAGATAGAAAGCTGAAACTTTCACTGAATTTTATCCCTTTCAAAGGACTACAATCCCTGAAAATTTCAGCTCATTTGCACTTGTAGTTCCTGAGATAAAATCGTGTTAAGCAATTTGGGGTGATTTATCAATTTTTCAATTTTTCTGAGTGCCTTTTTTCATGGATTTCGGCTTCAAATCTGAGAATAATTTAGTGTATGGAGTTTGGAGGATGTTGATTGACCATTAGGATACAAAATCTCGACAAAAAAAAATTTGAAATTTCATCGTTTTAGTAAGAAGGTACCTACCTTATGATTTAGATTTTGGAAAACTTTAACAGGTCATAACTTTTTTTCTATTATAGATAGAAAGCTGAAACTTTCACTGAATTTTATCCCTTTCAAAGGACTACAATCCCTGAAAATTTCAGCTCATTTGCACTTGTAGTTCCTGAGATAAAATCGTGTTAAGCAATTTGGGGTGATTTATCAATTTTTCAATTTTTCTGAGTGCCTTTTTTGATGGATTTCGGCTTCAAATCTGAGAATAATTTAGTGTATGGAGTTTGGAGGATGTTGATTGACCATTAGGATACAAAATCTCGACAAAAAAAAATTTGAAATTTCATCGTTTTAGTAAGAAGGTACCTACCTTATGATTTAGATTTTG